TCATCATAGCAGTAAATTTCTCCATGCACTGTAAACGGAACTTTTCTGATTCAGATACTTTTTAAAGCTACTATTTATATTTATAAAAAATAGAGTAACTAAATGTCTTTGTTTATAAGAGTACAAGATGTACAGTAAGCTAGTTTTTTAATTAAATAAAAAATGTACTACCGTGTTCTATCTGGTGTAAAATCTTGATACCAGCAGAGATCCAATTTTAGTGATTTTAAGTGGCAATTTTTTCTTGTAGTAGTAAAATAAGTATCTTTATGCAATTTCTATGTTTGTCTTCTTCTTATCACGGACTAAATCAATTAATGGTAGCCAGTGTATTTATGGAAGATATCTCATGTATCATGCTTTCTTCATTGTACTTGGATGATATCCTTAATAGAACTTCTCTTGTACCAATTGCACTAATAAAAGTATGGATATGTTGCCTTAAAAGTTTGTCATTGTCAAATAGGTATGTTCAAGTGATAAGGTTACCAATTTACATCCCGCCCTAAATAATTCTGACCTATAGTAAGAACTGATCTACTGTACGTAAAATGTTTTTCGTAACTAAAAAATCGACGCTATGTCATTTATTTGTTCAAATTGTGTATACCATACTTGTTTACTCTGTCTTTTACTCATTTTATAAGCTAAACATCAGTACTCTTAGAATTATCGTATATTTACATAATGCCAGTACTATAGCTATTGCTTATTGTTTACTTTTTGACTTGTATTGAATTTTCTATATTCAATTGTACATCAGTTGGAAATAATAGAAGAGGCGTGTAAAGGAAATAGCCCAGTCGTGTACTCCGTAGAGAAATTATGTACTAACCTAGAATATGATTAATTGCCTTTTTCAAATTTAGATTTTACATATATGTCAGCATTCTTTAGCACAAAAAAATTTCATCGAACTGAATGTAGCACTCTATCAAATTACAAGATAAAACAACAACAACAAGAAAAATTTTTCATATTTTAACTTTACTTTAGATATGAAAACAAGCAAATTTAAAGGAAATAAATGTAGTCATTATCCCACTGTATAGTTTGCGGTAGAGAAGAACATTAAAATTAGGTTTTTATTATATATATTCCTGTCCTATGCTTACAGTTATGTAGATTATAATTAACTTAGAAACGAAGTATTACTGTTTATAAAGCATGACATGAACAACATAGACTTTTCCATTATTAAAAGCTTGTATGGATAAAAGGAAACATAGCAAATTGTGTTTCAACAGTAGCTATCAATCATTTATTATAATTAATATGAATCTAATTTTGATATGTATCAAGTTAAGGCACTTGGATGAGATTGAATTTACGATGATTTTCATCATCTACAAATTATTTATAGTGTCAAAGAGATTTACTACGGTCACGAAGCAGTCTTATAACAAGTATACTCTCTAATGTATTATCAGAGCTATTTACAAGCTTGAACTTTGACATAAATTCTTCTTTGAATATAAATGTTCTCGACATGGTTAAAGAACTAACATTAACTTCTAATTCCTTTCTTATATTATCATCATACAGATGTAATAATCCTACGCTTGGACAACAATAATTTTGTAAATACATCTATTGAAATTTTGATTAAATCCGATGTAGGTTGATAATGAATATAGTCATATAACATCTACTAGCGTATATTATTGAATCCTACTCAAAAATCTCCATACTACAGTTCCTATTTTATTATTGTCGCCCCTTACATAGCTATGAACTACTATAAGATAATAATGCTATTGAAAACTTATTCTGAAAGAAAACATACAGTACATTGGAATAAATACAGTGTTTTTATCTTAAAATGTATATACGCAAACTTAATACGATCAATAGATCGATCGATGCTGGTATTGTATTACATCCTTTGACATCCTATTTCTACGATGGCTTAACTATTAGATGAATTTAATAATTGCTTGGCATTCTATATTCTTATCGTATAAAATCTCAAAGATTTATTTACGATGTTTGTTACGCATTAAAAAATTTTAATTGGATTATTCATTTCGATTTTCGGAAGGAAGTTTAATGATTTTAGATTAGCATCAACAGGAAGTATTAAAATATGGACTACATTTTTTATTAATACATTAATTTTATTTTTTCAATATATCATATTTTACACTCTGCATTAGTGCGCTTTCATTTGTAAACATGTTTATTTCCAGTAACAGATGTTGTAGATACGTTTATAATAACCACGCTACTATCAATCATGGATAATGATAATTTTAGGGATGAATCATCGTTAAAATCTTTTAATTTTTTTCTTTAAAAAAAGATGGTTCTAATCATTGCCTAAATCATCAAAACAATGCATGTTCGCATTATTTTACATTAGGGATCAATTATTCCTACGCTATTGTCTTGATTCATTATTAATGTGTTCACCTTATAAAATTTAAAATAAAAATACTATAGTTTAGAGCATATATTTCAGCGTTGAGTCACAAAATTCAACGTTGCATCCAGTAAACAACATGAAATATTTATGGCATGTTTACTACGACCATTAAGACGATGAAGATGAAAGTCAAAAAATTTTCTTAATTGTTACCTTATGAGATAGTTATGCAGTACCAGTAAGTATATATTACATAAAAAGTGTAATATACTGTGGATTAGGCTGTGTAGTTTAACCAAATATCATATTTTAATCTGAACTTCGAGGGCATATTGAGTGTAATGCATTATGTTTTGTTATCATTTCTTTTTATTCGTTGATTGTAAGTTAATGAGCATGATTACCATTCAAACTTCTAATAATATAACTATACGTGTTGCAGCAGTAAGATTGACAGTGATATGTAAATTTTTTGTTATATAATTTTTAGATGAAATTGAAAACATAATTAGTATAATTACGATTTCATGACTGACGTTTAATACTTTTATTATTAATCCGGAACGTTAATATGCATATCCTCCTATCTTAGTTATTGGCTAGAAACATACGTTGCTTTTGTTTGTAGTACTTATTTGGAACTGTTCATATTTTTATGGAATACAATCATGTTATGATCTTTATTCACATTTTTATTTACTATATCTCTATAGAACCTAAAAGTTTTCAATTTATGTTCATGTAAGATTTCTTAGAAGACTGAGAGAAAACAAGATATGATGTTAGTTGTCAGCTACTAACTTTTGACTGTCAGAAATTATTTATCTGTTACAATTTCCTTAAGAATTCAGAAGTTGCACATACGGTAAGTAGATATAATTTAATACTCTAATTTGTTGATAGCTATGAGACCTTACGAGAGATAAACCGATGATTGATAGCTTGCGTAGTAGCTGATGTTAATAGAACGGAACGAATCAATAAGCTACTTTAAAATTAATTTAATGTACAATAATTAATTATAACCCTAGTAAGCAGAACTTTCAAATACTCATTAATGTAGATAGGCTGATTTGAATATATCAATACATGCATATTAACAATATGATTGGACTTAATTACATTACTGAACTCTGATTGTTATTCAAATCATGAATGATACTAAATTTTAGACAAGACTTACAATAAATTATATCAAATTAGCCAGCCTATAAAGTTCAAATGAATTTTTATTACCCAAGAGTTTAATCATTCTACGCAATTTGAAGTAGAAAGATTAATAGCAAATTGTAAAGGTTCGGGGACGAATGAAATGTATTGCTATCAGGCATCTCTGCTTGGCATAAAAGCTTAAGTAAAAAAAATTTTTAAGTTTCAATTTATCCGATGGCTAATAAATAGAAGAATAACCTTATTCGTGCAACATTAGTCCGTACAATTATTCCAATACAGTAGTCAATCCATTTTCGGTAAGCTACACTTCATTTTAGACATCATTTAAATTTATTAACAGAATACATTCCATCATTTAAGTAAATAAAATGATGCCGTTGCATCTTCATGTAGTATGGTAGTATAAATGCGGATTATACTTTAAATAAAGCCTTCAAATAACCCACAAAAATGCTGAAATGTTTTAAAATTGCAATTCGCCTATGAACATCGGTGCTCAATTGATAAATTTATATATCATTAATTATTAACGTTTACATGTATATATGTATATATATATATACTGTATACTGTAGTACAAATTTATAAGCGATAAACAGATAATAAAAGGGACGATTTCCATTACCGGTTAAGGAAGACATCATTCCTGGGAGGTGATATAGTTTAGTGTTATTGTATCACAACAATATCAATAAAATACCAAGTAACATTGATATAACTATTTTAAAATAAAATGTACCATGCGTTAAATAGGTACCAATTTATATTCTAATATTTATGATTATAGCAGCTTGAATTACAAACAAAAATAGATAGGACGAATATTTAAAATGCTGTCTAATAAAATTTTTGTATGCAAAACATCAAGTAATTCAATTTTGCAGTCGTGGCAAAAAGTATTAACTTTAAATTCTCGTAGGCGTGACAGAAAATTGTATAATAAAAGATTACATTTATAGACTTTACTACATGTATAACTCTAAATGGTTCTAACCTTAGACTAGAGTACCACTATAAACTAATCATCCTATTATTATTCACATTGTTACAGCTAATACCATTGTGATGATTATTTTATAGCATACCAAGTTTTAAGAGTCTAATTATTTGAAGATTGATTTATATAAGATACTAGAGTGCTAATAATTATTGCTACATGAGAGTTGCAAATGTTAAGAGTAAGACATTACTGATAACATACTGAATAATTGTTAAGATTACAATTAATACCAACATTTGGTCATGTTTGGCGTATTGTATGCCAAGTCAAAAAACTGAATTGAACGTACTGAAAATTAAATCTGAAAACCACTTGAGATACATTTCAGTTTTAGTAATACATAAGAGATTGGCTTCTGATACTTTTCTCGCTGATGTTATAAGTAATGAATCAATCGATTTAATTATAACAGTATGCAATTATTTCATAATAATTAATTGAAGTATCTAGATTGTAATTTACTGCTCCGCGTTTCTAAGATGGATTTTTTTATGTTTTGCCAACGTACCAGATTGCGAAAACGATTTATTGCAAATGTCGCATGTGTATGGCTTTTCTCCAGTATGAACTCGAATATGACGTTTTAACTGGCTGGAATCGGTAAAAGGCTTTAGGCATATCATGCATACGTATGGTTTTTCGCCGGTATGAACTCTTCGATGTTTCTTTAAATCATTTGCTTGGATAAAACTTTTTCCACAGATATCGCACGAATATAAAACATCGCGCGAATGCGTACGTTTATGCATTTTTAAATGAAAGGACTGAGTGAATGATTTATGGCAAACGTCGCATCGATAGGGTTTCTCGCCAGTATGTATCCTCTTATGTCTTGTTAGACTATATGAGCGACCAAAGGCTTTGTAGCAGATATCACATCGATAAGGTCCATCTTGATTGCTGCCATCTCCATGATTATCGTAATAGTTAAATTGTCCATCGTGATTTAATGCATTACGATTAGGTGATGCTAAATTTCTGTTCTTGAAAAATAACGGCGGGTTATCATTATAGCCACCCTGATAAGGATTGACGACCGGTTTAACTGTGTTAATGCGATCATTGACATTATTGCCGAAATTGGTATATGCTACAGCAGTTGGTGGCATAGCTTGTTGTTGAGGTACTGGAATAATACGAGGTCCAGCAGGTGTAATATCGTAAATAAAAACAGGTGAAATAACAGGATTGCATGAAACATTATTGGGATGAAGTGGTACACCGCGATTTATGGTAAACGTTTCCTTAACTGAATGATCTTGATCTTTATTCATCGAACAAGCCGCAACATTCATTTTCTCAACTGGTAACTCCTCGTGGTTCTTGACATCAGTGTTTCTGTTATTGCTTAGGATACAATTGACACTAAAATTAGTGACGTTAGAATGGCTTACACTGTTTCCGTTAGATTGTGTTGGATTTGAAATAGTGCTATCAGTTGGAGCAATTAAGCTTGATTGGCTATGGCTATCACTGTCATCAACGGATGATGAATCGGTAGGAAATGTTTCATTTTTTACAAAATCGTCGTTGGATTCAATATCTTCGTCTTCGTCAATACTATCGTTAGATGTATCCGACGGTGCCATCGTCGTAAGAATTTGCCGCAATAGGTTGTGTGTAGACGAATCACCTTTCAGTAATCGTAATGAATGCAGAATACATCCAAATAGTATGGTGGTTAGTTGCGACAACAAATTAGTAGGTAAAAGTTGCTTGTTATAAATAACTTTTAGCATTTGCGATGACCAAAATGATACATTGGATAATATCTCTGTCGTTGAGAATTCTTGTTGTTTTTGATTTTCAGCTTCATCGTCGTCGGTATCGGATGAAGGGATTGGCTCAATCCGCGCAAGTTCTCTCGCGCATTTTTCTAATAAATCCATAGCCACGCTTGGTTGTATAGGTAATTCATTACGGCTATTGCTTGCTATTTCCGATATTTGTTTCCAAACACTAGTTGATCGATTAAAAATATCGTATATGGTACTAGTGTTATCTTCTTTACTTTCCGTCATATTTGTTAGAGAGGATTACCCGAAGCTTCAAGAGGTTGGATCAAATTATGTCTCAATCTTCTTAATATTAATTGACTGAATTTCTGTCTTTAATGAATGGCGATATTGTATTGATATGTCATAAAAGACGAGAATTCTTATAGTTTTTTTAATACTCACTGTAATTAATATTCTCAATGTGATATTAGTAGATTCAAGATTAAGAATTTCGTAATTTAATAATATTCGCAATCGATTGCCAATGATGCTCCAAATAATTAGTATTAGCTGATTTCACCGAGTGGATACATAAGCAGCGTGCGAACACTACCTAATTTAATCACATGAAAGAAATAAAGTTATTTATGAATATCGTTGTCCTCATATATACATATATATATATATATATACTGATATTTTAACTATACTGCTAATGGATATCAATGCGTATACGGTGAAAGATAAAGAGAGTTTGTAGATTAGTTTGAACAACAATTTGAACTTAAAGTCTATTTAACATTATGAATATAATTGGAATCAAAAATTTTTACACTTTTGATCATATTTTATAGTTAGCATTAAATACTTTAATTGAACGTTATTTTTATTATTTTTTTAATGTAATATAGGGTTACCTAATAACAAGTTGAAATTGGATGATTTTTTTGTGGATAGTTGAGAAGAAGATTTTTTTCCAATCTTAATATCGATAGGTACTGTTGGGGATATTGGGTATACGTATAATAATTTTGTTAAGAGTAGGTATGAGTTAATGACGGCAATCGCCTGACAGAATGATGATCATATCCAGTTACACAAGGTCTATAACTACACCAGTTAAGGTCAATAAAAGGTTGTTTTGTTTATTTCATAGATATTACGAACTATTCCGTATCAATGCCCTCATAGTATGTTAGGACTGTCGATGGAAAACATGTTTTTTGATTATGTTATTACTATTAGTTATACAGACATACCTACATCTATCTTGATATATGCAATTATGACATTTACATAACAATAGCAATTAATGAATTAAAAGCGTTTACGTCTCTACGATGTGTACGTAATTGAAAACAAGTATTATATTGTTATGCAAGAAAAATATGGAATGACTAAAGAAAATATTGCATACAGCATAAACACAACTGGTTATTATTTTGAACTGAGGGTCATGGAATAATGAATAGGGTTATCAAGATGTAATGCCTATCATAGGGCGCATACATGACTTCTCAAAGTAGCGAAAATGATATAAAAACTATAAAAAAATGGAAGAATGACTGATCAGCAGTAAGCTAATATACTTTATTGACAAACAGATGGTAAAATTCCATACGGTAATCAGTCCCATGCTACCATTTTGATTTAATATGTCAGAGTGGGTGTTTCTACAAATACTATAGCTATGAGTAACAAGATATCACACAAATAAATTTCGTGGGTATAATTCAACTCAGCTTTCCATCATTAACTCTTCTTTACGCGTATGTTATACCATGTATATTAAAAATGGCCGTGACGAGTGAAAAATTGATCAAACGGCACAATAGTATAATTCTAACTGTCCAGTAGTTTAGCTGTTTTATTTTCTTATTACATTGATTATTGCGACTATCGTGTAACGTCATTAACTTCATCGATTATTAGGTTTTTCCTAACATGATCCTTCTGATAAAGACAGCAATGTATTAAAAGACGTATTCGTATATGTAGCTTGCGCAATGCTCGGAAGGCAAAAATATTATTGACCACATTACTCGTACAAAGACACTATAGTCATCAGTTAAATATAAAGAAGCTCTTTATTATTTTAATTATCATGGATATTATTATTGATTAACAATCCTCTTGTAATCACTATTATAATGCATACCTAAAGTAGATAAAGGTAACGGTGTTTTCAGCCTCTAATCAATGCAAGTTAGAAAGGTTCGTAGTCAAGAAGAGGATAATGACTGAAAGCTTTTAAGAAATGATCGATCCTATTTATTAAATAGAGGAAATTTTTAGGGTGTGGTAAAGAGAGGGGCTGTAATATAAAAATTGCTCAAAAAAGAAATGATGTAAGGACTACTAAAGCAGTTGGCGATGAATATCACTCAATAGTCATTAATAGTTTACGATATTTGACTGCAGATTTGTTGTTTCATTCATATTTTGCACATATTATTCAACATCGTAACGAATAACTAGATAAAGAGTAGTAGCATTTTATCATACTATCATCAATCAAGACAAGGACTCCACTGTCTACCAAAGCTAATTAATTAATCGAAACCGTTAACTTGATAGTACACTGGATCTGTTGTAGCCCATCATGATAAATTGAGTATTATACTGTCATTATCAATGTCATCGGAAGGATCAAACGATAAAATTATGCGAGGAAGAGAAAGCAAATCGTATGAGAAGATTAAGCGGCAATGAGATTTGGTACTATCTTTATGAAATATATAGAATAAAATAAAACATAGAAAGACATTAATATATGATGAACTGATAGACTATACTATACAGTAGAGTAAGTAATGATAAAGATAAAGCAAGAATAAATGACCAGTAAGCGCTTAATATCAAAACAAAAAATACAATAAATATTGTGAATAGATGACGAATCGAATTTGAAGAAAACAACACTTTAATAAATTATAACAAAGCAAAAAATAGGTATTATTAAAGTAGAAAACGAGTAAACATTGAAGAGAAAAATAGTCGTTTTTATTAATATATTAGGGTTTTAACGTAGTACATAATCTCTTCATTACGATTCCTCACTTTCTTCTACACTGGCAAGTGATACTGATTCATTTAAATCGTGTAAATGTATATATCAACATGCTCAGCACGTACATCGTACCTTACAACATATGGTACTTGCAGTCTATCATTGCACATCGGCTGCACTCAGTACGCTGTGTATTTTAGCCATTTCTATTGCTAAGATAATAATGGATATTGTTTTCAATGCACTCTAAGTTGTAGATTGCCATGGGACTGTATTATATATATATGAAGTTGATAGTTAACAGAAGTCCCAAGTTATTTCTACCTTTATATTTTATTAGTATTTATTGCTAGTTTACATATCAGGTTATTGTCCCCATAGATCGATACTGGAATTAAAATTAATGTCTACTGCAATTGATTAATACTGTAAACTATAAGCTATGATAAGATGGTATCGATCACAATGTAGGTAAAAATAACTATTGGAGTAATCGCAAATGCCACACATAGATGACATGCATATGCTCTATAAAACAGTAAATAAGTTAATATGATCAATTCAAATGAACATTTAATTTAAGCAATAAAGCGTTATAGCCTTCTGCGAGGCGTGGTACAAATTTGAATCATAACTCGTGCACAACGCAGCATTTTACTGTATTTCCTATTCTTGGCCACAGCCAATAATCATTATAGTTTAATATGGAAATTGCAAGATACAGCATTGTGTTTATTATTAGTAGGTTATATCGACAATTAACTAATGATAATCTGAACTGAAATGACAAGGAATATAATTGCAATTGTGACTATCATCTGAATGACACCTAGATACGCATACGAACAAATATTGTCATTGCAGCATAGCTATGGCCTAATTCTACGAAATCATCTCATTTCAGCAATGAGAAATCTATTAAGAAACTGAAAGGTATAGATATATAATGTTAATACAGGAACAATATAAAATATCCAACAGGATAATTTTATTTCTTTTTGTTTGATATATTTAAAAAATGTTCAATTTGTTGCTGTTACTAATTTTCGATTGACGTAAAATCTATCTTCAATATGTTTTTGACAGACATTCTTTGGATTTCTAATCATGTAACTGTCATCATAATTCATTGATGAATTAAAAAGAACATCAGTTTAGC